TAAATGAAAGAGAATTACGGCTTCACCAGAGCAGGCGAACATGCGAAACATAGGGGGTCAGGGAAGGTGGAAGAAGGGAATATCCCCAATATACGTTAGACAAACATTACATACATTATACATAAATGATACATACAGGCTTTGCATATGGATACAGATTGTACAAATGGCATTGAAGCCTATGGCTGTAGTGCAAAAAGAAGAGTCATTGGTTCTTCTGTTGTTAGATTTTTATGGTTTTATCAAAAACTGCAGTGTTAAACTCTTTTCCTGCTATCAAGGGGAATAAGATGATGGGCTCTGTTAAGTTGTCAATGTAAGAGGAAGTGTTAGAATATACAGCCCATGCTGAGTGTGACCCAGCTTTAATCTCTGTGCTGCCTGTCCCCCCTCCCCAACACTGACCAGGTTAAATGGTAGGAAGATGGAAGGATGGATGTTCACTATATCAATGCCACCAACCAAAGTGCCCTTCATTTTAAATTATGATAGCTTTATTTATAGCAGTACCCAGTTTACATTCCAGATTACATTATGTTTGCACTCTGGTATGACACAGGTGAATGAATAGGATGTCACGCCAAGTACATATGCTGGATTGCACGTGCTATAAATACAGAAATGCTGTAAACAGAGGTGCAACCAGATGCCTTGAGGGACAAAGAAGGGAATGAAGAACATCAGCTTTACAGTTATGAACATCATTTCACAGAGGCCCTCCTTGATTGCCTTCTTTACTGAGGTTCTAGCAATATAATCACTCATACTGAATGAAGCTGTATCAATAGATAAACAAAAGAGCTGAAAGGCTGAGAGGAATGGGACAGAAGGGACCCATGAACTCTGCAGAGGAAAGACATGCAGGAGGGACAGCCCGGCCTGGCCCCTGAATAGTGGGAGTAATGACAGGGTTCAGAGTCTTTGCACCGGGAGGGGCCTTGTGGTCGAAACCATCCTGTTGGAGCTTATCCCAGGCTGAGGCTCCAACCCCTCCTCCCCCTCACACCCCCTCTCAGCTTCTGCACTCCCATTCTCTTCCTGCACCAGTCCTTTCTAAGCACACGTCCCAACATGTCCATGGCTAACAGGCTTTGTTACAAGAATTCGTTTGCCTTCCCCTGAACGTGTTTCACAATCTGCCGCTTTCTCGCCTGCCTCTCCCTGTTCATGCTGTTGTTTTTGGTGCCCTGTAAAACCAGACACAGGTGACATAGGTGTGTGGATTGGTACCTGGGTTTAGGATGATAGAGCTCCATTGTCATTGGTGGTAAGTGAGCAGGGCTTCCCAATGATAGCCAAGAACGTGTTTTTTTTTTTTTATCAGAGAAGTAGCAGGGTTTGTCACTGTGGAGGATAAGAGTGGAAGGGGAAGTGGGGAGGTACAGTGACCACAGTATGACTGACTGGCAGAGAGAGGACAAGCAAAAGCAGGCAGTCATGGTATTGTGGTAATGGGGGGTGAGATTAGCAGTGTGGCTGGACCAGGCCCCCTCCCAGACCCAGCTATTTTAAGATGTGCGGTATTCCCTGAATTGGCAAAGCCACCATCCCCCCCATACCACATTTCCTGCCTCAAGTCTGCCACTTCCTGTTGTTGTTTGCCTAAGCTTGCGAGGTCAGCGAAAGATGGGCTTTAAGGTGGGATGGGGCAGGAACTCCATGGGAGGGAAGCAGAAACATTTAGGGGTGGAGGGGCATAGCAGGTAGGGGTGCTGCAGCCCTGCTGGTTAACCTGTGTAAGACCTTGCTGGAATTAAAGGCTGGGTTTAAATGGATGCATATACAGTCATGACCAAAAGCTTTGGCAGTGACACAAATTTTGTGTTTTGTAAACTTTGCTGCTTCAGCATTTTTAGGTATTTTTTTATGGTATTCCGAAGAACAATTATAAACATTTCATAAGTTTCCAAGGCATTTATTGGCAATTACATCAGTTTTATGCAAAAAGTCAGTATTTATTGTGCTGACCCTTCTTCGTCATAACTTTTTTGCAATTTGCTCAGGCATGATGGATATCAGCTTCTGAGCTATATTATAACTGATGGTGATTCATTCTTGCCATGTTAGTGCTCAGAGTTGATCACAATTTGTGGGCTTCTGGTTGTCCAACTGCTTTTTAAGGATTGACCACGGTTTCTCAATGGGACGAAGATCTGGGGAACAATGATCAACACTATAAGTATTGACTCTTTGCATAAATTTGATGCATTTGGCAATATAAGCCTTTGAAACTTATGAAGTGTTTTATAATTGTTCTCCAGTGTACCTTAGAAACACGCAAAAAATCTAATGATGCTGAAGCACCAAAGTTTGCAAAACACAAAATTTGTGTCACTGCCAAAACTTGGCCATGATTGTACATTCTACTAAGGACCAAGATGTGCTTTAGTTCTAATACTGTCTGTTGAAACAAATGTTCTTTGAAGTCACCTTGCTACTCTGTCATGTTGAATTATGATCTTTACATCTCACCATAATTTTACAATATTGTGTATATATAGAATTTGTTGTCTCCAGCTAGCTATATAATGGATCACAACTTCCCTCCCACTCACATTTTTTGATCAGCTGTTTTTGTTATAGTAATGAGGAGGTCTTGAGTTTCAGGTCATGAATGTGCTGATTGATGGACAGTCAGACAGCCTGGCACTTTCACTTTTGTGTCTGGTAGTTTTGCGTTTATTTGTTGGGGATGGCCAACTCCGGTCCTCTGCATCTGTCCTATGGGGATGGCCAACTCTAGTCCTCCATATTTGTCTGATGGGGATGGGCAGCTCAAGTCCTATGTATTTGTCTGACTGGTATGGCCAGCTGAAGTCCTCTGTATTTGTCTGATGGAGATGGCCAACTCCAATCTTTTGCATTTGTCAGTGGACACAAAAGATCGATTGCTTTTGCTCTTTGCACTGCTGTAGCAGCTACTGATCATAGCTCAACTATCAGCAAATGAACTTCTGACTTCTAGCTTCTGACTTTTCCACCATCCTCTGTGGATCAGTGTCATGGGAAAAGCAATTTAGAACAGTACAGATAAGCAAGCTTTTACTCTGTCCATCTACAAGTCTCATTAAGCCAGCTTAGATCCTTGCTTCTGTTTCAGTGAGACATTATGGTTCAGAAAGCAGTCTGTTATTGTGCTAATGATGCTGCCCAGTAGTGAAAAATAAGCCTATTGCAATGCGAAATCCTCTGTTTTAAAATAATACCTCAATTGCCTGACTTAGGAAGTTCTTGAAGACTTGGGTGGCCTTGATCTTGACATCCCACAGTTTTCCAGGTGTTCCATCTGCCTTTCAATCTGTTTAAAGTCTTAGTGGATAGCGTGCTGCTCCTTGTGCCTTGTTTTCCTATTGTTCTATACCTGGCTCCATGTTTATTTTTACTTGCTTATTGTTGTGCGTGCCATGTGGTAGTCTACGATGCTGATTGTTCGGTACTTAAAATAGTACCCCCTGGACATTCTTGAGATAGAGAGGAAGTGACTCATGAATACCAGGGACCCTACTGAGGTTTTGTTGCAGTAGTTGAGGTCAGTGTTTTTAGGGGAGTCTTTCCTCATCATTGTTTCTGTGGGGTTAAAAAAAAACATGGGACTCCCAACTGGGCAGCTCTTTCTTAACCACAGCACTCCCATATATCCACCAAATATGACAAGGAACTCTGCACTGATACAACATCACTGGCATGATTTCACCATTTGGGATGACAAAGAATTAAGTTGTATATGTAGATTACTTCTGTCTCTGGGCTCACCCATCTTATCAGCTTAAAGGGTATCAGAAGCAATTCTAGACCATATTTAAGAGGGCTGCAGCCAGCCTAATTTTGTCTCACCCCCCTTGAAAAATTATTTGGTTCCATTTAGCAATTCGTCCGATAATTTCATACACATTTTGCACAGATTTTATCCTGATGTCCAGTATTTCTTTTGATTGAAAGTGGGAACCCTGCTGGGGGCTGACCCCCCATAAAGATCAAATCCTAGAATGGTCCCTGCAGTGCATCATGTGACTAAGAGTATAGTCAGCAATCATCTTGTTAGGAAGTGTCATAGAACAGATTTCCCTGCCTACAAGCCATTATGGCAGGTGTTGGGAATGTGTTAGTTAAAATGGGATTATTCAAAAATCTTCCTTGCAGAAGTTTCACTCACATGCATTTTACTGTGTTTTAGGCACAAGGGCAGAGAGATGGGATTTCGACCTCCAATGAGAAGACGCAGCCAGAGCTGGGTAACAGTGTGGCCTGTCAGGGCCCACGTACAGTGGTGCTGCGCAAGAACTCCGAGGGATTTGGCTTTACTCTGCGTCACTTCATCGTGTACCCTCCAGAATCCACCCTGTACCTCAAGGTGGGTAAACTGTGTGACTGTCAAAGAAAGATCTCCATTACGGTCAGCACTATAGAGGATGATTAGAAGCTATTACCTTTGGCTTTACAGCTCTGATATCAGCATGATTGACTGAGGACGTGAACAAATGAGTGTGAATAAGTCAGAGGAGGAGAGCTGGGCCACTGGATTTTTTTAGCAAGTTTTAAAAGGAAATAAACCAGCACTGAGCCAAGGCAGAGTGAGTAAGTGTTCCTTTTCACAGTCAGCTTGCTGCTCAGAGTCAAAGTCAGCTCAGAAAATCAGACCACTGGACTATCAAAGCAAGACAGAAATTCTTTAAATACTGTCAAACTAGTGACTGTTAATTATCTATTCTGGGAGAGGGCAAGAGGGAGACATCACGCTCTTCAGAGGTGGTAGGGTAATGGTTTGGCTTGCTGCACCAGTAGCCTCAATCTTGTGATCTCCCACCTCCCCCTGTGAGAGGCAGAGCAATTGATCAATATACTCTATTGAGGCTTGCTGTCAAGCTGCGATGGTGGAGCAAGGCCGTACCAGCCTTTGAGACAATGGCTATAGCTGGTGTCCTCAGCATCTCCCCATTCATCACACACTTCATGATGCTTGCATTATAAAGTGAGGGCCAGTGCCACTTGGACCATTCTTCTGCCGCCCAGACAGGGTTCCAGCATGCACTGCTGAGCTGTGTCTTGTCATCATCTGTGAGTGACAGAGAGCTGCATGTACTCAAGGTGTAGATGGATAGGCCACTACTGTATTTTTGCTCTTACTAAACTCACTCGCCCTTTTGTGTACAGAAGTTGAGGGATTCTTAAAGGGCTTTTATAGGTGGTGTTTATCTGAAGTGTTTTGATGTGACTGGTAGAAAGCCCAGTAGCTTTGGATGATAGGGACCCATCTCTGTCAGCAGAATACTCAGGTGTCTTGTTTCCACCAATGTGGTGCTGGTGCCACAGCCGGTGCTGGACTATTTCACAATTTGGAACTAGTGCGTTTGCATCCCACAAAAAACTGGGCCAGAAAAAACAGCTCCAGCATGGTACCACAGAAAAGCTAGTCTCAGAATTTGGAACCGTAATGTCAGAAAAAGTGGGAAGGGCTATCCTGTCCAAATGTTCCGCATATTTGGAAAAATCAATCCATAACCAATATAGTTTTGCCTAATATAGTTGGTACCAGCAGTGAAACAGCTAGGCAGCTTATTAGCAGAATAACACTACATCATTGTTTTATTCTGTGGAAAACGAAAGATCAATCTGCTTTAATAATAAATTAAAAACACCGCAGGTCAAATACAGTCAGGTCCATAAATATTGGGACATCGACACAATTCTAATCTTTTTGGCTCTGTACACCACCACAATGGATTTGAAATAAAGATAATATTGCCCGAAACACTTCAGAATTCATTCTGCTGCTTTTGTCAGCAGTTACATCATCAATAAATACAAGGGAACTAGCTCCATTGACAGCCATACATGCCCACACCATGACACAACCACCACCATGCTTCACTGATGAGGTGGTATGTTTTGGATCATGAGCAGTTCCTTTCCTTCTCCATACTCCTCTCTTCCCATCAAGTTGATCTTTGTCTCATCTGTCCATAGGATGTTGTTCCAGAACTGTAAAGGCTTTTTTAGATGTTGTTTGGCAAACTCTAATCTGGCCTTCCTGTTTTTGAGGCTCACCAATGGTTTACATCTTGTGGTGAACCCTCTGTATTCACTCTGGTGAAGTCTTCTCTTGATTGTTGACTTTGACACACATACACCTACCTCCTGGAGAGTGTTCTTTATCTGGCTAACTGATGTGAAGGGGTTTTTCTTCACCAGGGAAAGAATTCTTCGGTCATCCACCACAGTTGTTTTCCGTGGTCTTCCGGGTCTTTTGGTGTTGCTGAGCTCACTGGTGCGGTCTTTCTTTTTAAGAATGTTCCAAACAGTTGATTTGGCCACACCTAATGTTTTTGCTATCTCTCTGATGGGTTTGTTTTTATTTTTCTGCCTAATGATGTCTTGCTTCACTGATAGTGACAGCTCTTTGGATCTCATATTGAGAGTTGACAGCAACAGATTCCAAATGCAAATAGCACACTTGAAATGAACTCTAGACCTTTTATTTGCTCCTTGTAAATAAGATAATGAGGGAATAACACACACCTGGCCATGGAACAGCTGAGCAGCTAATTTGTCCCATTACTTTTGGTCCCTTAAAAAGTGGGAGGCACATATACAAACTGTTGTAATTCCTACACTGTTCACCTGATTTGTATGTAAATACCCTCAAATTAAAGCTGAAAGTCTGTAGTTAAAGCACATCTTGTTCGTTCCATTGTGGTGGTGTATAGAGCCAAAAAGATTAGAATTGTGTCGATGTCCCAATATTTATGGACCTAACTGTAAATTAAATATTGTGTTGCTTGAGAGGCAAAGAGATCATAAAACAGACAGCAAGTTTCAATTTTTAGCAGACTCCTTTATTGTGCAATCTTTAAATTGACACCAGGGTAGAACAGTAAGTCAGAATAAACTCTCGTACACACATAGACTGGGGGGCCTTTACAGAGATGGAAGTGAATAACAAGTCATACTCTGAAAACTTATAAAAACTTAAAATCTGAAACAGACAAGAGTAAATTCAAAAAGCAGAATACATACATACAGGTTCTCAAAAGGCAGCAAGCGAGAACCAGCTCAGAATCAGCTCCAGCAACTTGTTCCACCCCTGAGCATCCCGGCCTCTCAAACCCCAAGCATCCTGGCCCCCTTTTCTGCCCTAAGCATCTTGGCCACCTTGCTACATTGTAAGCATCCTGGCCCTGCTACCCCTTGTGCATTTCAGTCGCCCACTACCCCACAAACATCCCGACCTCCTCGCTACCCCACAAACATCCCGACCTCCTCGCTACCCCACAAACATCCCAGTTGCCTCACTACCCCCCCTTCTTGCTATACCCCAAGCATCCCGACCGCGCTACCCCTCTGACCACTTTATCTCCCCAATCATCCTGGTCATCTTGTTACCCCCCGTGCATCCCGGTGGCCTCACTACCTCCTAAGCATCCTGGCCACCTCGTTACTCACCGACCATCCTGACCTCGCTACCCCCCCCAAGTATCCTGGCCGCTCTATCCATACCATCCTGTGAGCATCCTGGTACCACCAGCACCTTTGTTTCCCCTAAAGCTTTCCAGCATTGTCTGTGCAATCAGGAATGAGCTCAGTCAGCGAGGCTAAAATCTCTGTCGGTCCAACCATGAGCCGCTTTCTCCAATGTACCCATTCAAGTTGTGCTTCTCTGGCTATTTTTCTGTGTTCAAAAAGTCTGTTTGGTTTGCTGTTGACTGTGAATTTAAACCCCTGAGACTCATCAGGTCAGTTTAGGCATTATATCCTTGTTGTAATTTTGTGCTGTATTGAATCTTAAAGGTCTGTTACTATATATCACCCAGCTGCTTTAGAACATCATAGTGTCACCTTTGTTAGCATGACCATGCATAACAGGTGATGTTTCGGTTGAGAGACATCTCGGATGATGCTCTGAGCCCTCTACCTGAACCGCCTCCTTGAGGGAGAGCCATCTAAGATCTCACTCACCACAGAGATCACCTGTTAGCCTCCTTACTGTAAGGCAAATGCAAAAGGGCCATACAGACATGAACCTCAGGGCTGAAAAACAGCTTCTTCTCAAGAGCTATAGCTTGATTCCAAGATTGTCAGTTCTGCTGCCTTAGACTGTTTGCACATTTTGTATGCACAATCGCCAGTTTATTATTTATTTTTAAATAATAAACAATTTTTTTTTATTGTTCATGGTTATTCACTGTTTAGTTATTATTTGTTTCTTTATTGTTGTGCACAGTCACCTGTTTGCCTTCCTGCCACAAGACAAATGCTAAAGGACCGTAAAGACATGAATTTCAGGGCTGAAAAACAACTTCTTCTCAAGAGCTGATACTAAGATTGTTAATTCTGCTGCCTTGGGGTCTCAGGGAGATGATGATGTCTATCCAAATCAAGATGATGATGTCTATCCAAACCTGGTAGCTCTAATAAACCATTTCTTTGTGACCCCCTCTCCAGTTATAAGCCTAATTTACAGTGTAACTATATGAATAGCACAATAGATGATCGTGCCAGAAGCTAATGGACCAAAAGAGACCTAATATAACTGTCTGGAGGAGTACTGGACAGTCACTTTTTATATGTAATGCTTCATAGGTGGAGTATAGCTTTGTTTGCTGCATGCCTGTATGGAAGGTGTGGGAATAACACTTTTACTGTGTTGCAGGATGAGGAAAATGGGAACGGAAAGGGTGAGTCCCGTCTGTTTCAACACCCACATCTGCATTGTAACTAAATGCAGCATGCTGCAGGAGCTGTGACGCCATCTCAGCATAAGTGGCTGTCACACAGTGTCCCCTAGTGCCATCAGCCTGGCATTGCCTTCTCCCCAAGCTCTGTTTAAGTGCTTGGATGCTTTTCAATCTGTCTTCTACCTTGCACTCTACTGAAATTTTCAGGGTCTATATTTAAATGCCTAAATAAGTAATATGCTTTCTCCATAACTTAAATGTACCATACATAGTACCCCATATTTTCAGTATACACCAGGATATAAATATAGTGTTGACTATGGAGCACTCTGAAACGAGCTCAGCTAAACACTTGAAGCTCATCAATAAAGTTTCTCTCCATAAAGATACTCTTACTGCCCTCTAGGTCAGGCTGCCTTCCCATTCTGCTTTGAGGCATTTGCTGACACTAACCATAGTTGTGTGTCCCCATACAGGGTACTTTCAAAGCCGCTTGGAGCCAGTTGATACCATTTTTGTGAAGAATGTGCGAGAGAAGGGTCCAGCGCACCAAGCTGGCTTGTGCACAGGTATGAAATTACTTCTGCTATGTGACCGAGAGTCCTGTTTAGAAGGGACATGAACTGAAAGCACAGAGCAACGGAGCCCATGCTGATGTTTGCAGGCAACTCATGATTTTTTTGCAGACCTTCATACCCAACTTGCTACTGAAATCATAAACATCTGTACAGTACAAACGTTTCATAACTGCACATGTCATAACTCCGATGTCATGCATATAATTGTTATATTTTGAGGATTCGTTTATATTCGCACATTCAGCACTGCTCATTAGTACTAAACTAATGAGTACTAATATGTATTTTAGGTAATTTTTTAGATGACATTGAAATGAGGATCAGGCACCATATTTCCATCTAAGTAAACTGAACTCTGACTGAGAAACTAAGTGTGGCAGGTGCTGATTTATTAATAACATCCTGCAACATTATCATACAAAATAACTTTAATGAATGGCTGAACCCCGCAGGTCAAAGAAAAGGACCCTTTTGACCCCCTGCCTGTGCTCTCTGTCCACCTGAACTCTGTCAGTCATACCCATGGACCCTCTGCTGGCCATTACCTCCTCTCTGTATTCCAGTACCATTATATCCAAATCATTCTCCTAGATTCGTGGTGGAGATATTTCCTGCTGCAGTGCATCCACCTTTAGATCTTAGATCCTATAGGTTGAGGTCCAGTAAAGCTGGGCCTTACAGACACAGAAGGTCCTTAGAAGACAGAGAAGACCCTGTGTGACACCGAGCAGCTTGGGACAGTAGGGGTGTGTGTGATAAGGAAGAGTCCATGCTTTAGTGATTCTCTTTTCCAAGACGTCCAATTTTAGGCCCTGGTGGAGCGTCTTGAACTCCTGTCTTCTGTGTGTAACTGCAGGCGACCGGCTGGTGAAGGTGAATAGGGAGAGCGTTTTAGGCAAAACCTACTCCCAGGTGATAGCCCTGATCCAGAACAGGTGATGTGGAGTCCTCACACACTACTCACACACTCAGGCAGCGAGTTGCGGGGGGGGGGGGGGAATGGAATGAGGTGGGGTGGGGTAGAGCATGTCTTGTGTCTGGAGCTGGACAGGGGAATAGCAGCACCAGTATGTAAATCATACTCATTTAAGCAAGCCAGCATGCACAGGCCTTCATTTCTATGGCTTTGAGACAGTCTGTTCCTGAAGGAAAATCTTACATGTGGTAAAACTGACTGGCTTGTGACAGAGTGGGCATAACTGTGGGCTGACTTCAGGATTTGACCCATAGAGGGGCTCAACCCCTTAGAGGGGATCACCCCCCTGAAGAAATACAAGTTGCCCCCCTCCCATCATTAAATTTTCAGAGCAGGGGTGATAAAGATTGCCCCACGATAAAGATTGCTGAGCTGGGGCACAATGAAATGCATACAAAGTACAGGACAAATTGTTAAATGGTTTTAGAAAAAATATTTTTTGGGGGGGTGAAACAAAAAATAGGAGGACAGAAGGCCTTTACATATGGTGTAGAAGTGTTAACGTTAAGCCCTTTTATGCTGACATGCATATATCTCTGTGGGAAATATAGGATATATGAATCTGCTAAATTAACTCTCTGTCTTTCATTCTGATGCAGTGAAAACATCCTAGAGCTCACTGTCATGCCAAAAGATGAAGATGTTCTGCAGCTGGTAAGTGTGAGTATGAGCTTTCTGCTGGCCTCCTTTTTTCTTAAGATAACCTGCCCCATCTTTGATTATCCCTGAGTCCTGTCTCTGATCTGCCAGGAGTACCCAACTCGAAATTCTGGGCCCCCTGGACTGACTGTTACCTTGGGTCTTCTGAACAGGCGTATACATTATTTTCCACATTTAGGAGCTCCTGTAAAGTCCTGGGTCCCTGAATCTTCCAGGGAATCCATGTCCCTCCAACACCCCTGCTGAATACCGTCATGCTAACAAATTTCTTGTGAAGGCAATGGTTCTCAGTATTTGGAAATTTACATACAATGTGCACACAGCTTACCCAGACACTCATATGTTTACACACTGACAAGCACAGAGAGAGGGGGCATGCACATGCTCATGCACACACACACATACATGCACACACGTGCGCACGTGTACACACACACACACATGTTTGTATTCATATCTTTGTGGGGGCCGTCCATTCATTTCTGTGGGCATAACCCTAATTCCAACAATGGTAACCTTAACCCCTCCCCAGCCCTAACCGTATCCATATATAACTAGAGTAAATACAAAACTTTGGGCAATTTTAGTTTTTTGCATGCATTTACAGTATTTTTAAAAAATTGAGTTTTCCATTATGGAGACTGAAAAAATGCCCTAATGTTCATAGTGTATGTCACAATTTGATATATACATGACCCCAAATACACACACCAAACAAACCAAACAAAATACGAGACTTTTGACATTTTTACTTTTTTTTTTTTTATTACATTCACTGAACCCAAAAAATGGTCCTCACAACGTCAAAAAACTGGTTTTTACTACATTGTGGGGGACATTTGATCCCCACAAAGTAATATAAACCTAATCCACACACATGCACCCACACACATTCACACACAGACCTTTACCCTTAATTAATACATATCTCCCTGTCAAACTGCTGTAGATTTTGAGCCTGTGTTAGCAGCTGACTGTTTCTGCAATAAAAACTGGCTGTTTGTTTTTTAAATAATCTTCAGGAATCCACTGGAAATGTGTGATAAGGCCACATCTACAGCATAAACCTGAGTGCTACATGACAGGTTCCTGTCTCACACTTGTCACATTCCTCTCTGCCTCTGTAACAAAAAGTTGGAACACGTTTCTCAAAGTGGCCTCACACAAATGACACCCCCCCTCCCTGGAAAATGCTGCCAAGCCACCCCTCTCTTCACATATCCTGCATTCCTAGGCTGACATCATCACCTGCGACCCAGTCCTCTTCCCTGATTGGCTGCCGCTGACTGCAGGGTGTGTCTAGCTTGAGAGCATCACACAGGAGGGTGGGGAGAAACTGTAGACAGCTGTACAGAAATAAGTGAGACTGAATGGTTCCCCCTTTCAGGGTTTTTAGACAGGGTTTTTTTGCCACATTGAAGAAAGACAAACATTCCCACTACTATATCCTTTGTGCTCTTCTCTCGGTCTCTGAGTTATTCTAAGTTAGCCTGTTGCTTCTGTAAGCCATTGAGATAAAGCCTAGAGCTACTGAAGAGTTGTCCTTAACACTGTTTTAAGGCATGCATGGGCTACAGGGTATGATTTAAAGTTTCACAGATTGTACCTGTTAGTTATCATTTCTCAATGTTTGGTGCTTCAGAAGGTTATTCTTTTGCTGGTCCTTTTGGGAATGTTGGACTTGATTCTTATAGTAAGTAGTCTGTTGTGATAGAGATGAGGAGGAGGATGGGGGGTTGATCACAGAGCAGTTGACTCTTGCAGAAACTTATAGGCGCAAACCAAATGAAAGCATAGAGCAGATGGACACCAGCTGGGTTTGCTCGGCATGCTGTAGTGGTCTCTCCAGTTCGCTCTACTTTAAAACCCCTGTCCTCCTGTGCAGCATCAAAACGTCAGAAGACATATTATTTCATTTATTGTCATTTGTTATTACTGCTAAATGACATATGGCAAATAATTTCAGCATATAATTCTATTGCTCTATATGAATGTATACTATTTCTGTCATTAATATCCTCCTTTCCCTGTTCTGCAGGCGTACTCCCAGGATGCCTATCTGAAGGGCCATGAGCCGTACAAGGGGGAGGCTCAGAACCTGCCCGACCCACCACCTGTCTGCTACCCACGCAGCAAGATACAGCCCACGGCTATGCTCATGGGCCAGAGCCCGGTAGACAACTGGAACTGCTGGCCGGGCTCAGTCAAACCATCCAACCTGCTGGACAACCACTGCCATTTAGACAGCCGGGTGGCCCGTGTGGATGAGCGGGCTGGGAGACGCCAGGGCGAAGACCCTTCTGTTGTGGCACAGATTCGTGGCCGCTCCTATTCCTTAGCGGGGAAAGTGGGCAGTCCCCTGCACTTCCACTTCACCAATCATCAGGCTGCCATTGCCTCGGCCTCACAGACACAGCTAGGCCTCAGCAAGAGCGAGCTCTGCCAGCAGGCTCTCTCTGACTGGTACTACAGCCAGACCACGGAGCGCCTGGGGCTGACAATGCCCCCTCGCCATCGCAGCTTCTCCCAAGGCCGCTTGGTTGAGGTGACCTCTGCACTGAACCACCAACGTGTTGGGTGGCCACACAGCTCTTCCCAGAATACCTTGCTCTTGCAGTCCAGTGACCCCTACTGGATGAAGGAATGGGACATCAGTAGCAAGCCAACCTCCAACCGTGCTTGCTCCAGTAACCCGCCTGGCTCTGCCTACATTTGCCACAGCCGCTCAATGGAGATGCTTGACCAGACACTAGGTCTAGTCTCGCCCTGTTCTGAGAAGTCTGCCTGGATCAGTCAAGCCCAGAAAGCACCATTTAGAACTGATGGCCACCAGCAGAGTAATTACTGTACCATGTCTCCGGTGCCTTCCCCAGGCCCACCAATGCCATTGCATCAACAACAGCCAACATCAAACTCCCAGCAGGTGGGCCAGTCAAGACGGCTTCCTCCACAAGGCCAGGACGAGCAGTCAGTTGGCTATCAGAGCTACAGCCCCTCCTTCTACCACAAGGCCGGTCGCCTGTTGCAGGCACACTCCTTCAGGGATCCTGCCTATACTGGACTCCATTTCAACTGGGAACCTACCCCAAAAGCCAGTCCCCCCAAAGATGTCCCCATTGTGGCATCCAGGGCCTGCACCTCCCCCTCCCTGCGCTCTATGTCCAAGCCTCCCAACGGCATTTCCCAGCAGACCAAAAATGAGAGGCCCTTAGTTGAGTCAGAGTGTGTGTCTCAGACCCAGAAAGTGGTGCTCCGCCCAAAGCTGGCTGTGGGCCGACATACATCCCATGCGCAGAGGCACCCAAACTTCTCCCTGAGTGTCAAGTCCCCTGAGCCACATGGCTTCACACTTAAGCCTAACAGGGGTGCTTCCATTGCTCAGTGCTCAGAAGACCTGCCCCAGTGCCCCAATGACAGCCTGCTACCGGTGACTGCAGAGGACGACTCACTGGCATTCATCCCCTACATAGGTTGGTACCTGCTTTCCTCTGTTAAACTACCGTGACCCTCATTTCACAAAACAGAAGTAATCTCATACCTCCACATAAGCCACTTAGTTCCTTAAGGGATTGAATAATTTTCTTTCCTTTTGTAACAGTCAGTTTTGAAGAACTTTGAAGTAATTTTTTGAATAAACAGGATTTTGTATTTGTCAGTGGGATGCCCTATTTTCCCACTCATGGATTCTGATACCAAAACATTGTGAAAATGGAATTATACCTTCATCTACCTGAAATGCCAGGGCAATGCATGATTGCATGTTTATGTGAAGCAGGAATCAAAAACTGCTGTGAAAGAGTTGGACCTCTTTAGGTAATTGGGACAGGGTAGCACAGCGTTGAAAGAGAAGAGAGATGTGGAGGCCTGTCGTGCTTGTGTTCACGTGAGCATACCTGCTTTGTATGTCATGGGTGTCTGACAGGAAGTGGCTCCCTCTGATTACCTACATTACCCTGGCTGTAGGCAGGGCTCTGTAACAGAATAATTCTAGGAAATATTACAGCAAAGCCAGAAGGCAAGTTAGACTTAGACGTTTGACAAAAAATAAAGCATAGCATCCTGCAAACTACGCTCTTCTAAAATATCTACAGGAAGTACTAAAACAAGTTCATACAGCACAAGTAATCTAAATCTAAACATAAAAAGGAGTATGACTAAATTTCCACTAGGGGTGTAACAGTACACAAAAATCATGGTTTGGTATGTACCTCGGTTTTGAAGTCACGTTTTGTATGTTTTCGGTACAGCATGAGTAAAAGAAATAAAACATACATTATTTATTGTTTTTCTTTATTAAACAGTGGTTTACTGAACAAAGTATGACTGTCTTTCTAAATTAAAAAGTATTTCAATACTACTGCAACTTGCTAATAAAAAACTAAAATTTACTTAAGAGTAAATTAAAATACATATTCTATCAAGTAAATTATAAAAAATAAATATCCATTAAGGTGTACATTTAGAAAATTAACTGTACCTGATCTGTACTGTATTCACATTAGCAGCTTTCAGCTTCAACTGAAAGCTGTGCAACACAAATATTGTCTCAAAAAATGCAAAGCATTACTATATAAATATCCATTATGGCGCAGCATTTAAAAAAAAAAAAAACCTGTGGTTTACTTGAATTCACATTAACAATTTTCAGCTTCACATTAGGACGTACCATTAGACTCCTAATTTCCACCATGCAGCAAACATGTTCTTGACAGTCAAGCATAAAGTCGTAATGTGGTACACAGTGAGTGTAACATTTTCTGAGGTGGTATGCTGTGTAAAAGGTTTGTGAACCACTGTTTCTAATTTAGAAATCATAATGAAATCTTAGCCCACCAATCCATTGTTTTCCAGAGAGATAAAAAATGATCAGCACTGTTAATCAGCACTTTTCGTAGTTGAGCGAGATGAATTTGGTTGAAGATTGCTCTTGTATTATTTGGTATCCGTCCATCCATCCAGCCAGCTAGCCAACCATAATCCATCTTCCATAGCTGCTTATCCAGGACAGGGTTGTGGTGATCTTCTCCAAGGAAGCACAGGGCAGGGGAACACTTTGGATGGCTTGCCAATCCATTATTCATCTTGGTAATTTTTTATAGGGAAATATCACCTGACAAATTTGACAAGCTATGGCTAACATAAGTGAGGTAGCTTCTGAAGTGCCATTATATTTACTTGTATACCTGAAGCTTTAGGAGCAAATTATCCTCTGTTTGAAAGCTTAAACCTTGCAGAACTACAGCAGTTTTGTTTTAAAAAAGATCACTCTCTTAGATACAAGCTAACTATCTTCCTTGTAATGTATTATATTTGCTTCTACCTGCATTTACACTTTATTTATTGTAAATAAAATCAGTTTATATGTGATCTTTATAATCAGCATCTGCTGAAGCTGAAAGTCATGACAGGGTTGAATTGACAAGGTTGCAACATAGTAATGCGTGTAAATGTTCTGATTTTGATTTTTCTAGCTGTTTTACCTGTTCTGAAAAACAAAAGTAGAAGTAGAACCATCATTGTTGGTGAATTCCAGCGGAGGGCTCTCTCATCATGCAGAGACAAACATTTTCAGCAGTGCAAGTAGGGACATGTTTCCAGTCTCCATGCTGAAACTAGGGCAGTTTTGATCGGTGGGTCTGTAAACACACAGTCTGGATTCTTATTCATTATTATCATTGCCCAGATCTGTGCACTGATTAAAAATATAGTTTATCAAGGTTAATTTTAGTGTGTGAAGAGCAAAGTCCAAAATAAAAGTATACAATGTTAGGTAGGCTAACTTTAATGGTATAAGACTGAAACTATAACTGTAAACTGGATGGAGTTAAATAGCAAAATGGTTGAAGAGGCATGGGAATTTTTTAAAAGCACATTGTTGCAAGTGCAAGAGGACTTCATACCTGTTTCCATCAAAACAAAATCTAGGAAACTGCAGCCAAGGTGGTTTACTACGGAAATTAAGATTAAAGTCAGGAGGAAAAGGGCTCTCTTCCACAAATGAAAATTAACTAACAATTTCAAAATAAAGCAGGAGTATCTAAGTCTACAGGTTAAGTAAAAAAAAATAACGTTAGACTCGCTAAGAGAATGTAGAAAGGAAGATTGCATTGGAGGCTAAGGATGACATTAAAAGTTTCTTCCTATATTTTAACTCTAAAAGCTGAAACCACAAATTTGCAGGATAGTAAGGGTCTTATAACTGAAAAGGAAATTGACATTGTAAATGAGCTTAATGATTATTTTACAGAGATGTTCACAGTAGAGAAGACAAGTAACCTGTACAAATGCAGTGTCGTCTATGACCAATATATGTATAACTGAGGCTGATGTGGCTCTAAGCCTAGCTAAGCTCAAAATAAATAAATCACAGGGCCCTGATGGGATCTTACCTATAGTTTTAAAAGAGATGAGGGATATTATTAGCCAATCTTTAACTTTACTACTCCAGAAATCGTTATCTGCTGGTGTGGTACCTTCTGATTGGAAGCATGCTAATATAACACCCATATTCAAAAAAGGGGATAGAAGTAATTCAGCAAACTATAGGCCAATCAGTTTAACTTGCATAACTGGAAAGGTAATGGAAGCTATAATCCAAGTGAAAATGGTAGATTACCTGGATTCAAATAACATTCTGAGGGATAGCCAACATGGATGTAGGAGAGGTAGGTCCTATTTAACTAATCTACTTGAGTTCTTTGAGAAAGCTACAAGAGAAGTTGATCACAAAGAGGCCTACGACGTGATCTACTTAGATTTCCAGAAGGCCTTTGATGTTGTCCCCCACAAACGGCTCTTGCTTAAGCTCAAAGCTGCATGGATTTTAGGAACTGTAGCAGCTTGGATCGAAAACTGGTTTACTGACAGGAAGCAGCGAGTAGTTATTAGAGGCACAATGTCACAGTGGGCCTGCGTTCATAGTGGGGTACCGCAGGGTTAAATTTTAGGACCACTGTTGTTCCTAATTTACATTAATGATATTGAAACCAATACATACAGTAAACTAGTTAAATTTGACACCAAGGTGGGTGGTGTAGCAGATACTGATCTAGCAGCAGAGAGGCTACAACAGGATCTGGATTTAATTAGCGACTGGGCTGATACCTGGCAGATGAAATTTAACATAGATAAATGTAAGGTAATCCATGCAGGGAGCAGAAATATAAAGTACAGATATTTTATGGGTTCCACTGAAATAAAGGTAGCTGATTACGAGAAAGATCTCTGTGTGTATGTTGATGCTTCCATGTTCCACTCTCGCCAGTGTGGGGAAGCAATAAAAAAAGCCAATAGAATGTTGGGTTACATCTCTAGGTGTGTGGAGTTTAAGTCAAGGGAAGTGATGCTACAATTATATAATTCCTTGGTAAGACCCCAACTAGAATATTTTGTGCAGGTTTGGTCACCATACATTAAGAAGGACATTGCTGCCTTAGAAAAGGTGAAACGGAGGACTACGTAAATTATTCCTGGTCTTAGAGGAATGTCTTATGAGGAGAGGTTAGCTGAGCTGAATCTGTTTAGCCTTGAGCAAAGGAGACTAAGGGGGGACATGATCCAGGTCTATAAGATTCTAACAGGTCTGAATGCTGTTCAGCCAAATGGCTATTTCAATATTAGTTTAAATACTAGAACTTGTGGCCATAAGTGGAAATTAGCTAGCTGCTAGTGTAGTGGAAGCTAAAACCCTGGTTTCCTTTAAATCAGAGCTAGATAAGATTTTAACATCTCTGAGTTATTAGTTAAGTTCTCCCATAAGAAATGTGTAAATTTCTTATGTTCTTATGTATTGTTGCTGCTTGAAAAGGCTGTCATGTTTAGGTACTACTTCGCTGTACAATAACAGTCTACCTTGGTATATTTTATATATGTTATATCTGAAAAATTCTACCTCAGTAACTTCTATGTGGAAGGGTGTTTTGGAGACTTGTACATCTCACAGCAGCCCTATTATCTGTCTGTGTTCTGTAGATGTGACTTAATGGTGCTTTTTAAGATGGATTAAATATGACCTCCTGTAAAGTTCTTATAAAGTCTGAACTGGAAGATAAAGGAAATTCCCCAATGTAGAAACTTTTTTTAAATGAGTTAAGATGGTAGATTTTAGAGAGAGTGCAAGCAAGAAAACAGGTTCAATGTTTCAGCTCTGCTGGTGGTGTTAAGTAAGTTTTTCAGAGGACTTTAATGGGCCAGTGTCCACATCAACACATTTCTCAGGGTGTAATTGAAGAATGCTGATTTAGGGAGTTTACACAAATTACATCTTTCACATGCCACACTAATGTCCAGTAGCGCGGGTAGGTGCCTGGCAACTGCTGAGAAAATTCCGTTACAGTGCCGGAAATCATGGTCATAGCAAGATCACTGGCCCATTGTGATCCTTCAGTCCAGCAGTCGGATTGTCCAAAGACATACTGAAACCCTATACCAGGATACACAATGGCAGATTTTTAGCTCCACCTTTCTTTTGACATGACACATAAGGGGTTTACAAATGTCAGAAAATGTACTTGAACATATTAAAATACCTTAAATTAATTTTGTACAGTTAATGTTGCAGTGGTGCTCAATCATAACTGTTGCAGGTAACAATTTTTGTGAGAAGTCGTCCTTGGTGTTTTGCTGCCCCCTTGCATAGTGAATGTTATACAAAATCTGTAACAGAGAACAGAAACTGAAAGCAAGTGAAAGCCCTGGGATGCTATGACCCGTGCAATGAGAGGCTGACATCAGTTCAGTAACATGTAAAGATTGTAGTTGTGATAATTTATAATTTTTAGCAAGCAGGAAACAGCATCTGCTTATTCTCAGAGACCACCTCACCTCACTTAAATCAGTACTTTGTGAATATTTGGTTTCCCAAAAAATTACACCAAACTGAATAGAAAGTTAACAAGACCAAGAATGTGTTCATAGCTTGCTGGAGAGGAGAGCTATCAGTTTTTGACTGTGTCAGTCTGTGTGGAGGGATTCCACTGTGCTGGTCGGACATGCAGCTCTGTATCAGGGGGTTTCTTTCAAAGGGTAGCTATCCTAATGGCCACTTCCTGCAGAGCTGCTTCCTCACCTCTGGGTTTATGCGTGTGGGTAGCATTTCCACCATATGTCACAGGACCCATGTGGTGCAGGGCCCTGAGTGTGGCAGTGTATGAATAAGGCCTGTTCTTCAGTGTGACTCTTTCTGATGCCCCCTAGATGGGATTTTGCAAACTTTGTGTCACTCGAGGTGCCCTCCGCTGAATGAGTTTCTGAGTGGGACTTCCCGGCTTGGCTTGTGTTCCCTCGTCCTCCCCTTTCCTTTCTACTTAATCCCCCTTTCCTGGTCTCTTACCCCCCCATTCCCCCACCCCTCAGATGAACCAACGAGCCCCAGCGCTGACCTCTGTGCCCAGCACGTTCCTGCCTCCTCAGTGGTGTCCAGCGCCATGAGCTCCACACCCGCCGTTTCCTCCAACCCTGTTTCCCCCACCTTCACCTTTCCCCTCACCAGGCTCTACTCTCAGAACTACAGTGAGTGATGCCTAACCCCCCAGTGCCCCCCTCCTACCCACCTTACCACAGCATAACCACCCAGAAGGATTACCCACCACTTAGGACTTCTCTCACTGTCTGTGGTACAAAAGTAAAAAGGCCGTGATTGGCAATTTACTTTACAAAAAAGCAAAAAAAACAACAGATATACTCCAGGAAGAGCTACCAAGACTTTCTGAAGTTTTTGGCTGTTCCAGATTATCTGTAAATCTGGTTTCATTGGCCTAACCAGATTTCTTACTGTCCAGCACAACAACAGTGAGCAAAATAAGTTTCCATGGTATCCCAGTCCCAAACCAACCCCATCATACCATTTCTCCTTCTCTATCCTGTTCTGTTCTGCTCTGTTCTCTCCTCACCCTCCCTTCCTGGTCATCTGACTTTTACCTATTTGTTTGAACTTCCTCCCCCTTCTTTGCACATAGAACTATCACCTGAGTCTCCTCTCCCTCTCCCTGTCCAGATGATGACCCCAAGTCCAGCCAACACTCCTCTTCTCTGCTGGCTATCACAACAGAGCGCTCCAAGTCCTTTGATGAAGGACTGAACGCCTTCCGAGATGAAGGCCGTGGCTTCTCGTGAGTACCTGTAGTGCATGCGTACCATTACAGTGGCCTCCTGGGTCCATCACTACATGTCACATGATCTGCCACGACACACATGGCATGTCTAACTTTCCATAAATGAAGAAAAATGTTCCTACGCGAGGAGCAATAGATACTCCTTATTTAATCATTTAAGAGGCACTTATACATGACATGAAGGTTACTTTGACGCAAGGTGCAAGGCACGAAACCAGAATACAAACAGAACTCATCAACCTAATTCAAGGGTTTAAAAGAATTAAATCATGGCCAAATGTTTTTTTTATACATAGAGCTGGAACAAAACAGACAACTGTTTTAAAACCTTAGTGCAACTAGTTGACTCGTAACAAAATAAACACAACCCATGGTATAGAAGAAAGTAAAATAGTACAGACAAAAATCAGTTAACCATAGCTCCCCTTGCACTGGTTTATAGTTAGGGTATTTAACACTTTGTTGGCTTTTTCAGGCTGTCAGGTATAGCCTGGACATAATTCACTATAATCTACTAAACTCAGAGAAAACTCCAATTTGTCCTCTAGATATAAAGCTAGAAATATTTTAGCAAGTAATGCCAACTGTAATAATAATAATATTTTATTTGTAACAGTACCCAGTGTGCTACATAGTAAAATAAAAACAGTTACAACAAAATGAGACAGCAAAAGTTAAGTAGCCATAACATTAAGCTGGCAGTCAAATAATATAGAAACCATTTGAGGGAATAGAATAATAAAATAGAGGCGAGAAGCAGCAAAGATGAGGAAAAATATCCATCCATCCATCCATCCATTTTCCAACCCGCTTGTCCTACTGGGTCGCAGGGGGTCCGGAGCCTATCCCAGAAGCAATGGGAACGAAGCAGGGAACAACCCTGGACAGGGGGCCAGCCCATCGCAGGGCACACTCACACACCATTCACTCACACATGCACACCTATGGGCAATTTAGCAACTCCAATTAGCCTCAGCATGTCTTTGGACTATGGGGGGAAACCCCATGACAAACATGCAATCATAACAAAAACAACATCAACCCCCTCATACTGCCACCCTCACCCAAGCTACACAACATTGCTGAAAGTCTTGAGGAACCTGCCTTTACACACACATGAACTTTAATGACATCCCATTCTTAATACATCGGCTTTAATATGGAATTGGCCCACCCTTTATAACAGCTTCAACTCTTCTGGGAAGACTGTCCACAGGGTTTAGAAGTGTGTTTATGGAAATTTTTGACCAAACTTTTGGGTGAGAATTTATGAGGTCAGGCACTGATGTTGGACGAGAAGGCCTGGCTCACAGTCTCCGTTGTAATTCATCTCAAAGGTATTCTATCAGGTTGAGATCAATACCATTTACCACATATTGAACCTGAGGTCATTCACAGTCTTGACTAGTGCTGGTTTGAAAACCAGTGGCCAGTACTACGAAGCGGGGTTACTGGCTTATCGGGGTAACTTGTCGGATTTAAGGTACCACAGTTTAAATGGACTTCATATTCGCTCACTTACATTTTGCCCAGACTACCTTAAATCCAACAAGTTACCCCGATAAGCCAGTAACCCCGCTTCGTAGTACAGGCCACAGATTGGCATTTTTCATAAATATTTTATGAATTCCTAATATCATTTAACAAACTAAAAGCAAGTTTATAACAAAAACATTAAAAGCAAGCTTTTGCTTAAAAATGGCAGATTAGATAGTGATCTTAGGGCACGCAGATCACCAATGAAAGTCCGACGCCATGTTGTTCAGGGGTGGCCTTGCTTTAGTCTTCTTCTTGGGGGCGTCCGGGTGATAGTGGATTTGGGCAGGCGTAGTGGTTGTTGGCAGAGGATGTGTTCTCCGAAGCGCATGCATCGCTCGGTCACAATATCGTTGAGGATGCGGGTGGCAATTTGGCTATGAATCTCTTCATTGGTAACACAGCCCCGGTATGAGACTTGCAGGATTCATCGCTATTGTGCGACGTTGAGTCTTCTTGGGGATGACTATGGAATTAAGCAGATGGATCTTCATTGCCATTACAATCTTCTAGGTCGACCAGATAGGCCGTAGCCGCTGGAAGACCGTGCACGCTTGCACGTGAAGCTGCCCACCTCTTCGAGTGATTGGAGGATAAGAAGATGAAATAAAAAAAATTAAGAATAAGTTAAAAACTCCGGGAATGTCTGTGTATGTATACGTTATGAGGGGAGCACCAGTGATGTGCAGAAAGTGACTTAGTATCAATTTGTACAAACTTTTTGTACAGCCTCTCAGGTGTGTGACCTTTTGCTTTAAGAGGACAAGGTGCATTGGTAAACCGAAGACAAGATTTAGTAAGTAAGCATCACAACATGCTCTATAATGCGAGCGACCTCATCAATAATTTCACTTATGTAGTGATTGTATTGTTCAGCTGTAGCACACCCATGAATCTTATTTAATGAGGCAGCTAATAGGCTGAGATTGATAATGTGCTTTATGCTAGCATATTGTATAATACAACTAATACCAAATGTCAACCGCTTGTGGTCAGAAATACCAGTTGAAGTGGATGGAACACTTGAAATCTTGACCCCGGTGCTGCAGACAAGGTCGATTTGTATGACTTTTAACACGAATGGGAAGATTAACATGTTGCACAAGATTAAAAGAGTTTAGCATATCAGAAAGTATGTTTGCAAAGTTACACTGCAGACTATCAGCATGAATGTTCATATCACCAGCTTGCACCACTGCAAGAGCGGGGGGGGTTAACAATGGTTGTTGCAGCCCCTTTGGTCCCAGAGAGTCTCGACAGGTGCTTAAGTTTTTCCCTTTATTTGAAGTTTCAGACAGCGACAACTCTATCCGTCTCGTCAGGTATCTTAGCACCGTGAAAACTGTATTGAGACGTATACACAACATTTAGCAATCTAATTCACGCAAATACAAACTTCAATAAACACAAACATAGCCATACATCTAATACATAAATACAAATTACAATCATAACTATAAAAAACGTACCTTGCTGCGCTCCCCAAGGAATGCAAATGTATTGATATAACAGTCCTTTTCTTTCTACAAACGAAGTACAAATTAAGCCTCCAGTACAAACAAAGCAGCTTCCCTCATTTACGTCTTTAAACTACCTTTAAAGGGACCTCCTTTTATGCAAACTACGGGATCACCCGCAGGACAAAATTCAAAAGCGCAGGTACGCTCAAATTTTATCCATAAATTCACATACAACCATACTAAGCACATACAGAATAAAATATTCATACATGAATTAGAAAATGAATTAAACATATATATATAATTTTACCAAAGCAAAATAACAAGAAAGGAAACACATACAGGGACACTCGCGGTCCGTTACAATGGTTAAAAGTTCAGCTATTTCTGAAAAAGAAATACAACACAAAATAACACCTAAAACCTCCTTTGTACCTTGTGCAAAGTAGAAGGTGCCACTGCCCCTTCCTGACAGGCACCCCCTGACATGTTACACAGCAGTTTTACAGAATCTTTATGTTAGCACTGGGCAAGTCAGTTTGCCTAACATTATCTTCATGGAACTAAATCGCAAACATTGTCCCTTGTTAATGCAATTAACTGTTCCAGCCAAAGAAAGTTCTTCAGTAAAACAGCTAACCGCTTCCCTGCAGTCTGTAAACTGTAGACCAAAGAGATCAAACTCCAAGGAGAAATGTTCCAAAACAGGTCTGATTTTCTTTAGGCATAACTCATCACTCATTACTATATATTCTATAGAAATCTGCTCCTCCTTTAAATATAGATACTTTCCACCTTTAGTATTAGTGCTGCAACACACATTTGTAAGTACATATTTAAAGAAAGTTATCCTGATCGATGGTGAAAACTTTATGCCCAAAAGCAGGAAAAAGACATAGGCACGTGGGAGTATAGTCATCTCAGTATCCATGGGGGATTGGTTCCAGGACTACTATGAGTATGAAAATCTGCAGATGTTCAAGTTCATTACTGTATATAAAATGGTGTAGTATTTGCATATAACCTACGTGCAACCTCCCATATGCAATAAATCATCGCTAAATTATACTTATAATGCCTAATACATTGTAAATGCAATGTAGTTCAGGGGTGTACATAACTGGTACGAAAGTTTGCGCATTCACTTTTAAGAACGATACATGCGACAATTGATTGTTTGTAAAAGCGCAAATGCGTACTTATTTTATGTGCGTTTGCGCTGCTGTGACAAGAAAATACCATGCATTTTAAACCGTATACCGCAAATGAAGTCGAGTTAGCAAATAAAGATTAAAATACATTATATCTTATTTTCATAGCAGCGCAAATGCACATAAAATAAGAAGCTACACATTTGCGCTTTTACAAACAATCGATTGTCGCACGTATCGTTTTTAAAGGTGAATTCGTACTTGCGGACCAGTTATGTGCACCCCTGCTTATATTGCATTATTTCAGGAATAATGACAAGAAAAAAATCTGTACGTGTTCAGTACATACGCAACTATCATAGTACATATAGAAAATATGAATCAAGAAGAGAGAAATTCATTCTCTCTCTCTCTTCTTTCTCACTTCATTTGCATGGATTCAGCACAATGCTCGGCATACCCGAAATTCAAGTTTTGCATTTTGGAACTTTCTGATTTTTTTTCTCTCAAATATTTTCGATCTGTGGTTGGTTGAATCTGCAGATGTGCAACCCATGGATACAATGGTGAAGAAAGGTTGGACTTTTCCTCCACTTGTGAATAACCCGGGTCAAACGTTGATGTTAAATGGAGTAGGATTTAATGTTACAAACCTTTTCCTGTGCTTGTGCAGCCTGTAGTACTCACTGCAGACTGCTACAGTCATGTGGAAAAATTAGGACATCCCATTAAATGTTTTGTTCTTTATTAAGAAATATCAACATGTCAATATTGAATCTTCTTTCAAATCTTATCTATAGATAAAGGTGATGTATAATTGTATCACCTATGCAAAAACAAGAAACAAATT